TCATTGTTACCCTTAATTTTGTCAACCTTTGTGATTTTATACTAAGCCTACCAATTATGTAACATCTTATTACAAATTACAATTTAGCCTCTGTATTTTATCATTAGACATTATCGGTCAGTTCTCACATTCAGTTGGGCCCCCTTTGTTAATGTGTGTTTGTGTGTATTTTGTGGTTATCGCATTTCTCTCACCCCAATGACACTTGTATTCTGTTGGCTAGAAAACAGCACTATATCACCCAATTGTTCATTCACACTTCATCACATTTTTTGTTCTGACTATACACACCCTATACACATTTGATTGATTATGTTAACTAATGGACTATCATCTCAACTTACACATGCACCCCAATACAGACAGTTTCTGATATTATTTTCATTTGCCTTTATTGGCTATATGTGTACTCTATTATTCATGGATTTATAACTAACTGTAGAGCCTGAAGAAGAAGAAGTTATCGAAAACAATTGTTCGCTCAAAAGCTTGTTTTGATTTCAATATGGGGATATTTCATTTATAAAAAAACACAAATAAAATGTAGAGAAATGAAACTGATTGAGACAATGAGAAACGTGAGTAGTGTACACGGGAAAATCATGTGCGAATTGCATAGATCTCTTTCGGAGCACAATAAGTGAATATTGGCTAAAGAAGCCAGTTGATAGGGCATTATTACGTTTCATAATAGCCATAATATGGTGAATAAAGTAACCAAGATGTGAAAAAAACGATGATAACAGTCGCGAAAAATTTATTTCAGAAACACATTTTTGGCTTAATTACCAACTAAGATTGTATAAGTGAGTCGGATTATTATTTATATCATCATTATTATTATTCCATTAGGTTCCGAGCGGATCACAGTGGGCTGCAACAAATAAAAGGAACACCAATGGGATCATCGCCCACATCAGGATTAATAGCTGAAGCCGTCATACAAAGACTAGAATTAATAGCTCTACCTATAATTTAACCGAAAATCTGGACAGGTACGTTACGTTGATGATACATTTGTAATAATTAAGAGAAGTGATTTAGAATATACTCATAAATTAATAAACAACATATTTGAAGACATCAAATTCACCACGAGAGAAGAAGAATTAGATAACAAAATCCCATTTCTAGATGTCTTAATCAGGAGAACCAACACAGGAGATTTAGAGACACAAGTATATAGAAAATCAACGCACACACACAGATCAAATACTCAACTATACTAGCAATAATCCAATTACTCAATCACAAAAGAAACTGTGTGCAGACATTGTTCACAAGAGAGTTCAAACACACTGTAGCACTCCAGAGTTGAAAAGAATGGAAGAAAAGTACCTACAAACGGTCTTCAAAAAGAATGGTTATCCACAAAATTTCATCAAAAAGTGTTTAAAATCGAATCAAAACACCAACAAGGAACCATCATCATCAAAGACCACAAGAAAATTCATTCTACCATACATGAGAAATATCTCTGAAATAATAGCTAGAATACTGAAACCGTTTGATATAGATATAGCACACAAGCCAGTCAAATCGCTTAATTCGATATTATGCAAACCGAAAGACACATCCAACAGAAAAAGAAGATAAAATTAATACCATTTACAAAATAAATTGCATGTATGAACTGTAACAGGCATTACATCGGTGGTCGAAGTGGGCGTCCCCTTCGAATCAGAATCCAAGAACACAAATCAGCCGTGAAAAGACACGATATGTATTCTTTAGTATCAATGCATATAGACAATTATGGTCATCAATTTGATTGGGATAATGTCGAAATCTTAGACAGAGGAAACACCACCAAAAGTGTAGTCAGGGAATTCCTAGAAGCCTGGTACTCAAACGAATATGCAATTAACAAACACGTTAATATAGACGAAATATACCAACTAATAAAAAGTAAATCAGGTGACCAAAAAGTTTAAAATCCAAGTCAATAGTAAAAATGGTCAATACATATGTAAAGATAGTTACCAGGAGACGCAATTATATCACTCATGAAGAAATTTAAATCATTTCACTTTGTGCTAAATATGGCGCTGAAGATGTTGTCCAGAAGGACGACGAAAGCTCCGCAACTAAACCAACCAGCTCAGAGAACACTAATAATTGCAAATCATCCACCTGAGCTACAAATCTTCTCTATTATTTCAATAGCTTGACTCCACACAGCATTTTTGATACATGTATGAAATTTTTAGCATGTGATATCGGTAGCCCAAATTTTTTGGCAGTCCGACCAATTGATATCGGGTGTGCGTCGACCGGGGGTTGAACCTTGTGCATGGTTGGCGAGCGTCCTAGCCACTGTGCTACCGACGCATATATCGGTTCTCCTCAGTCGTCTACAGCTGAAGGAATGACTACGCATAGAGAGATTCTCATCTCCTCTTCTTCACACACACACACACGATCTCCTCCACGTCACCCAGAGATCCAAGCCTAACTCAATGTTTACGATTCGCTGGGTTCCATTCAAGGCTTTGCCTGACGCATGACATCATTCAACAGTCTCTTCGGGTGTGTGTGTGTCCGATCGATCCATCATCTCCACTTCGTTCGGGCATATGTTTTTTTATGCAACAGCGTTCTTGAAGAAGAATTTAACAATTTAAATGACCTGCAATGTGGCCACCATGCCACTAGGTAGCTCGCCATCATGGTGCACATTGATTTGATGATATTAGACGGTTGGAGGCGATCGACAGGAAGCTTTGGACTTAGGTGTCGTGCTACTTCGCTCTCGTCAGCAAGGCGTATCCGCAACCTTGACGGAACTCATGTCCCTTCTGAGATTCGAACCTGCGTCACCCAGTGATAACTGCAGTCAGAGACGTTACCACTGAGCCAGCTATTCTGGCTCGCGATTGATCTCCTGTAGGACTGTGCTGTGCTGGATACTTTGATTGGACACTAGTAACTAGCATCAAAAATAAGATCCGGATTTTCAACTCCAATGTGAAGTCAGTCAGTGCTATTTGTTATACGGATCAGAGACTTGGCCAGCGCGTCATAAAGAACACCTCAAACAAACTACAGACCTTCATCAAAAACTGCCTTCGCTCAACACTGCTCAAAATCAGATGGCCGGCCAGAAAAAATCAGCAACAGGGAGGGATCTCTGGGAACGAACCAACACAGCAGGAATCGACTGTTCAACAAATAAGCAGGAAGAAATGGAGGTGGATCGGATTGTGGCCATACTCTGAGAAAACAAACCATCAAGTGACATCACTAGACAAGCCATTGCTCCAGTGGAATCCGAAAGGGAAGCAGCGAGTTGGTCGGCAGTGCGAGGGTGAGGTGACTTGGAGGAGGTCATGTGAAGAGGAGATGAAAACGTGTGGGCAGACTTGGAGCCAGGTGAAGACTCTAGCAGAGAACCGAACGCAATGGAGACGTTCGCGGCTGAAGCCCTATGTTCCTCTAGGAATTAAAGGAAACAATAATAATAAACTAGTGTGGTATTTCTAGTCGAGCCGATTGCCTCCAACTATCTAATATCATCAAATCAATGTGCACCATGATGGCGAGCTGGCCACCTAGTGGCATGGTGGCCTTATTGGAATCCTGACTGACTGATAGAATTCAGTCTGCACCAAAAACAGAGCGCTAGACACGTCACACCAGTTACTGACTAGTGTCAAATCAAAGTGCCCCACTACAGTCCAAATGGAGGTCAATCTCCAGTGAGCCAGAATAGCTGGCTCAGTGGTAACGTCTCTGACTACAGTGCTCACTCACTGGGTGACACCGGTTCGAATCTCAGAAGGGACATGAGCTGTTCCTTCAAGTTGGTTGGAGATACGCCTTGCTGACTGATGAGTGCCAGCTGGCACGAAACCTAGGCCCAGGCAAGGCTTCCTCTGGCCGATTGCCTCCAACCATCTAATATATCATCGAAGCGAATGTTTACCTTCAAACTATAAACAGTACATCAACAGTTCGTTAATATTTCTTAGCGTATTAGTACTGAAGCGTCTGAATACTCTCTAACTACTCTCTACTCCGGAGTTCTATCCAAGGTGACATACTATAAAACTTCACTCAGATTGTAGCAAGTAAGGCGAAGAGTAAACACACATCAGACATGAGGTTAGCAACCCGACGCCGTAGAAATTATACACCACTTTGAATGAGACCTACATAGACAAGACGGAGGTTATGAAAATAACCAACCAACCAGCCAACAACAACAACAGCAACATCCAGCCCCAATAACCATCAACGGGAGGGATTTGAAAGAGGTTACTTCATTCATTCACTTATCTAGCTAGGGAGCATTGTCTCAACTACAGCAGGAGGAACGGACGAAGATGTCAAATCGAGAATCGGGAAGGCAAGAAACACATTCATCAACCTGAAACCAATCTGGAAATCGTCGTCACTCAGCCACACTCAACAACAAAATTCGGATTTTCAATACAAACGTCAAGTCAGTCAGTTCTTCTATACGGATGGATCAGAAACGTGGCGGGTGACAAAGAATATTTCCAACAGCCTGTTGCAGACCTTTATCAACAACAACTGTCTTCGCTCTATACTGAAGATCAGATGGCCGGAAAGAACAAGAACCAATCGCTTAACAAATATGCAGTAGAAAGTGGAGATGGATTGGACACCCGCTGAGGAGGAGGCCGTTGGGAGACATCGCATGTCAGGCCATCGCTCGAGTGGAACCCGAAAGGGAAGCGGCGAGTGAGTCGTGTCTTCAAGAGTGACATGGAGGAGATTGTGTGAAGAGGAGTTGAAACAGTATGGACTAACATGGATGCAGGTGAAAAGTACAGCAGAAGACAGAAGCAGCAAGTGGAGACGTGTAGTTGAAGCCCTATGCTCCACTAGGAACCCAAGGGAACAATAATAATAAGAATTGAATGAGACCTCGAAAGGTCAAGCATGAAATCCTATGTTACACTGTGGATGCAAAAGAATGAACTCTTTTTTGTTTTGTTTTTAAAAGAAAATAATTGATAACAGCTCAAACTCACCTTAAATATAAGATCTAAGCAACAAGTGTACGAAAACCAAGGACCTTTTAGATCTAGTTGTACATTACCGTTCCAGTCTTTCAAGGAGAATGTATGACCAAGTCGTCCATAATTTTGAACAATACTTCCTAAGGATTCACCGACTGGAGCTTCAACTTTCATTTCCTAGACAATAGGTAGGTGTATATAGAAGTATTAGTAATAATAATAATCTACTTTATTCCAAAAACACCACTACTTATAATACAGAATGGAATTCTCAGCATTTCTCACAATACCTTGCATCTGATTTACTCAAAATATAAATAAAATTAAAAATTAAAACAAAATTAACCAGAGGAATTTGTCCACATTTACGATATAAAGTCAAAAATATTCGAAGTACGAATTGAGAATATTAAATATAATAATAATAATAATAATAGTGAGTTTGTTTCAAACAGTATTGTCGATTCAGTTTGGAAATTTTAGCATGTTATTATAGAGGCATTGAATCTAATGTTCTGTTGATATAGCAGCATGGTGAGGGGAAATACAAAATTAACAGTTATAACACAGCTTAAATGATGTTCACACTTATGAGAAAATAAACAAATAAAAACAAAAAATTGAGAGGATTATAAATACAAGAAGAACAACAACAATAAAGCTTGATGTTGTAAGGGTGGAGGAAATGGTTTATTTAGTAGTGCAAAGAAGGTTAGTTAGTTAGTTCATGTCTAACACTATTTTCATCACATAAAATACGTGCTGGCAAATATGGTATAGTGGAATTTTTATACTTAGACGTACGTGCATAAAGTCTTCTGAAAAGACTTCTTGTTTTACCTGAGGAGACACAAGGTTGGAGCTGCGGGTAACTAAAGTGGATGCTCACAGTCTGACAAAATTCCTTTAGCAAATTTGTTGCCTATCAGTGACAATGTCAACGATATGGCCCAATGGGATGCCACTCGCCCTACTGACCGACTGACAGTCTTCAGAGTTCTACGAAGTATGACATAGTCTTTTTTTATCAAGCAATCCAGGAGAGAATAAGCAGGGGTGAACAGTAAAGAAGAATAGGTAAGATGCACGAGTTGACAAACTGTAAGAGGAGAAGGAAGGGTTGAGTTATGCCTGAGTGCCTTAACTTCTTAATGTAAAAAGTCAGACGAAATATTCTTTTAGAAATCGCTAAGACATGGGAAGACCAGGATAGGTAGGTCAGTAGAAAGAATTAATCCAAGAAACTTAACTTCAGACTTGATTTCTATATCAGTATCATCAATTTTGCAACGGTCATAGGAACCAACAGCTTCACCATTTAACTTTCTTTTACTCACATCGGAAACTGAAATTAACAGTCTGACATTTGGAAGGATTTAGTTTAAGACAGGCCATTAGACGAAGACTATTTGCTAACTCCTGGTAGAAATGATAAAATTATCAATTATACGCGTTGAAACGCAACAACAGTCAGTTTAATATAACCAGCACGCATTCATTACACTATCCATTATCTGAAAAAACTTGTTGAACGAAATACCTTAGATCAGTGAAGAGGCCTGTTTTCGGCGAATTCATTTACCCCTTGTTAACTTACAGTTGCATTTGCAATACAAAAGTGATGATTTGTCACAAACATAGCCGTTTATTTTTACGAGTTGATCACGGATTGATGAATCAGTTAGAGAACCATTGAAAACCAACATTGGGAGTACTGGACAGCCAGCTGTTTCATCAGACTAGTTTGGGAATCATCGGCAGCACGCATCCACCACAACGGATTCAAACCCAGGACACTCCGTTTACAAGGCGAGCTGGCTCATATACCATTCAGCCACTCACTGGGACCCGATTCAATGGCCAGCCAGTCCATGAATTCTAACTTCTACCAATTCATGATTTAGCGCGACTGGCACCAACCAATGTCATCGGTGGGACATCCATCCTCACACTTGACTACTAGTTGGACCTCACTGGTCACGACTTTTCACTAGAACTGACTCCAGGAAACTCCATTTTGTAGGAAGTCACTAGCGAGTATCAGATTAATTTTTTTCTATAGTTTGGTTTGTAAGGGTTAGTTTTCTGTTTTTACGAGTTGATCACGGATTGATGATTCCCAAACTAGGCTGATGAAACAGCTGGCTGTCTGGCAGTACTCCCTGTGGCTGGTTTTCAATGATTCTCTATCTGATATTAATCCGCGCGTGATCAACTCCATAATCACTTCATCAATTATAATCACACGACTTCGAAACTTGAGTTTTATAGTTTTCATTGTCCTTTCCTGTTTGTCGTTGTCATTGGAGTAGTAGAATTTAACCAGATGTCTGGCTGGATAGGTGTTGAATCATTCCCATTACACGTATCCACTACCAGTTGATTCGATAAACAAAGCTTCTGCTATCAATCTCTCCCCCTCCTACACCATATGAAATTAGATTTTAAAATTGTCATCCTATCCCATCCAGCCTATTGTATGGTTGTGTGTAACTGCATGGAGTGAGTGGTATATCTGAAGTATTCTCTAGATTTCTTGATTTCGAGATTGATAATAGAAGCTTTGTGTATCAAATCCACTGCAAATACATGTAACAGTGTAACGACAGAAGACAACGGCCAGGCAACAGATCGTTTATTAAGGCAAATCAACATATATTTATAGATTTTAATGTACATTATTGTAGATTATTGTTAGTAGAAAAACACAGTCTTCTGATTGGTGGTTGTTTCGAACAGAAAGTTAACCTTGAATCTCTTTGTGGCTGTGTCAGATCATCCATTTGCTAACTGTATCCGCTTACGCAAATCCTTTGTTATCATTTTCTCGCCACCAACAATATTGGGGACATAAACATTGACGTCAAACATTGACTGTCTACCAACTTTGGCTAGCAACCAGCTCTCGTCCTCCCGTCAAAGACTTGCGACTGAAGTCGGTTCGGTCTTCTTGGTTCCTGGGGGCTTTGCTCTTTTGTCTTGCTTTCTGGAATCTCGGCGCTTGCGGATGTTCACCTGTTTCTCTGTGTTTACCATTGTGATCGTGTCTGCGTAACCCCATCTCATCAAACAGAAACACTGCTACGGAAGTTCATTAGTGTCCACTCAAACATTCGAAGATAGAGGAAGACGGAAAAAACCAAAAACAGGCATTCATCACAAAACAACAGCCTGGAGTAGCCAACATCTGCATTTCAACAGCTTCGGTCCTGTTGTGGTGGTGGTGTGATACTGACAATGTCAGTCAACGGAATATTATGCTCACATATTCACACGGTTATACACCTACCTCATTAACAAAAGAATACTATGTACATTTCAATGCCCTATTAGATATGATAGAGAAGATTTGTAACTCAGGTGGATGATTTTGATGTGGTTGTGTTCTCTGAGATGGCTAGATAGTTAATTTAAGAAGCTTTCATCACGCTACTAGGCGACATTTTCAGTGCATACTTCAATTTCAATTGAAGTGACCTTTTAGATTTCTCCACGAAATTATCAGTCATCTCTCCTGGTCGGTGACCACCTTGGACGTGATGGGTTGTTTTTTGTGTGTTTTCACACCTTCTAGGCTACTTGTATCGATATTGGAATTGATTGTTTCTTTGACTTGAACTTTGACCCTTTGTGTGTTTGCGAGGTTTCCTTCTTATCGGTTGGTACATTTTGTCTATGTCGATGTGTCTATTGATTGATGATTTACGTCCCCTTCGTCTTTGTATCCACGAACATAAGCTAGCTGTCAAGAGACATGATATCCACTCCCTTATATCACTACATACAGACAACCACGGACATCAATTCGACTGGGACAACCAGATTTGAAATATTAGACAGAGGAAACAACACCGAGAATGCTAGAGAATTTTTAGAAGCTTGCCTGGTATTCCAGTGAATCATCAATCAATAGACACATCGAGATAGACAAAAATTATCAACCGATAAGAAGGAAACCTCGCAAACACACAAAGGGTCAAAGTTCAAGTCAAAGAAACAATCAGTTCCAATACAAGCAGCCTAGAAGGTGTGAAAACACACAAAAGTAACCCATCACATCCAAGGTCACCAACCAGGAGAGATGACTGATAATTTCGTCGAGAAATCTAAAAGCTCACTTCAATTCAAATTGAAGTATGCACTGAAAGAAGATGTTGCCTGCCTAGTAGGGCGATGAAAGCGTCGCAAATTAACCCTTCAGCCAGCTCAGAGAACACAACCACATCAAAACGCCCTATTTCTTGTCGTTTAATGTAAACCGAAATCACACGCTGGCTCAGTGATCGGTTAATGAATATAAACTATATATATATATATATATATATATATATATATGTATATAAACAGCGGTTCTCATTAATGGAAAATATACCTTGGCTTCTGTATCTTGCCTTCTGTTGTTACACTGTTAGCCACAAGACAGGTTCGGTTAAACCCCTACACTACACCAGAAACAGAGAGTGAGCAGAAAAGCTTTCCTCTGAAGAAATATTCGAAAAAATGAAGTCAATCTCACCATACCATATTTGAGGAATAATGGATATATTTATTTATTATTTTAATTTTGATTACAGCTTGATGCAACACCGTATTTTCAGTACAAATATGGAATTTTCAGCATGGATATCTGTAGCCCAGAATTTTGTAGGCCGACCATAGATATCGGGTGTGCGTCGGCAGGGGATCGAACCCCGGACCATGTGCATGGTCGGCGAGAGTCCTAACCACTGTGCCACCGACGCCAAACGATTTATAGGGAAGTACTGCGAGCATGACATGAAGGAGGTGGTAGCCTACAGTATTATCGAGAAGAAACTAGTGCTTATTCAAACTAGGATTTAAAAAAGCGGACGAAATTGAAGAAACCAATTGCCAAGCAAATAATAATAAAATGCAACATCATCGAGGACATATCCGACCGCTAAAGTTATCACATTCTGATTACATACAGTTCAAAGTGGACTAGTCCAGACTAATTTCCGGCTGTTTTGTTAACCCCAACTGTGTGTTATGAATTCACATGTGTACATACATACATGCGCCGTCCAATAAGGGAGGACGAAGACATAGGCATGGCTGTATACAAGGATTGTTCAACATGTTCTTATGACAAAAATATTCATTCAGACATCTATAAAACACAAAATAATGATTGAGCAAGCAAAGAATATCCTGCTTTCGATAAATTCTTCCTCCTCTTCTCGCTCTACAATTATATCTATATATGCATGTTTATATACAAAGAATATTCTAGATTAGTAGTCAATAACAATATCAGTGTGTGCTTTTTAAATATAATATCGATTTGTAAAGTAAGATCACAATGGAATTACCACAGTTCATTAAAGATGCTTAAATTATAATAATAATGAAATAAAGACATAGTAGCAAATAGAATATCAACTAAAATAGGAAAATTCCACAAAAATTCAGGATCATTCAAACCTAGATGGCCAAGCGGGTAAGGATAATGTCTGAACTAACCAACTTCTTTTGGATGCACAAATTAGGCTTGTTGATATGGATCCCAACACGGCTAGCCAGCCTCAGCAATATTTAGTATCTGTACTTTTAAGGCTAAATTGAGATTTGCTAGTTGGTATGCGGTAAATTACTCTGAAAGCCACCTGGTTAACATCTATCAGTCTTGTGTTCTGTATGCACAAGATGAGTGAGATAGAACAGTGCTTTGAATAGATAGATTTTGTTTGTCCTTTACTTAACCAACCACTGTGCAGTGTGATGTTCGGAAATTCGACGAGAAACACGCGTAATTGTACAGCCTATGCAAGTAATTGGCTCACTGCACAGGAGCAGTTAAACTAAGTGTATAGATAACATGCATGAAATTAGTCGTCTGGTGTCTTGTGATACACATGCTCATAATTTTTCCATGTCTGCAGAACTTTTCACTCAAGTAACTTCTAATTTTGAACTCAAGCAACCGTGTAAGCGCTTCGCTTAACGAGTTTTGCATTCAGAGTGATGGCGACCAGAAGCGTTCGTCCGGACAGCATCATCTCCATTTCTATTTAGTTTCATCTGCTAACGAATGTGATATTATTCGAAATTCAAAACGAGACTTAAGGATGGATTTGGTGTCAGTGGAGAGAGAGAGAGTCGTTGATTTCGAGTGTGCCGATGACACAGTTTTTTTCAGGTTAAATTGTTGACGAGATGCAGAGTCTTCTAAAAATTTTGAGTAGAGATATCTTGATATCTTATCTGGCATGTGTTTCACCCCCACCCCCCTGCCGTTTATTGGAATTAAAACAGTACTATTACTTGAATAAGATTAGTGGGTTTGTTGATTTGCTTTTTCGTTATTTCCTTTAATTTCTAGAGGAACATAGGGCTTCAACCACGAACGTCTCCATTGCGTTCGGTTCTCTGATAAAGTTTTTACCTGGTTCCAACCAAGTCTGCCCACACGCTTTCATCTCCTCTTCACATGACCTCCTCCAAGTCACCCTTGCAATGACGATCAACTCGCCACTTCCCTTTCGGGTTTCACTCGAGCAATGGCTTGTCTAGTGATGTCACTCATTGATGACTTGTTTTCTCAGAGTATGGCCACAATCCAACCCATCTCCATTTCTTCCTGCTTATTTGTTGCACAATCGGTTCCTGCTGTGTTGGTTGCTTCGCTCATTGCCAGAGATCCCTGTTGCTGATGTTTTCTGGCTGGCCATCTGATCTCAAGCGGATTTTTGAGCGAAGACAGCTAGATGTTGATGGAGGTCTGTAGTTTGTTTGAGGTGCTCTTTATGACGCGCTGAGGGGATCCATATAAACAAGCCTAATTTGTGCATCCAAAAGAAGTTGGTTGGTTCAGACATTATCCTTACCCACTTGGCCATCTAGGTTTGAATGATCGATCCTGAATTTTTGTGTAATTTTCCTAATTTTAGTTGATATTCTATTTGCTACTATATCTTTATTATCATTATCATTATAATTTAAGCATCTTTAATGAACTGTGGTAATTCCATTGTGATCTTACTTTACAAATCGACATTATTTAAAAAGCACACACTAGTATTGTTATCGACTACTAATCTAGAATATTCTATGTATATAAACACGTGCATATATAGATATAATTGTAGAGCGAGAACAGGAGGAATTTATCGAAGAGGATATTCTTTGCTCAATTATTTATTTTACATAGATGTTCTTATGAGTCTGTGTCCCAGAGGTTAAGCGTCATTTAACAGCCACCCGCCCCCCCCCCATAGCTTAGCATCTGTCTGATACACGGCATCAGATCCACACATAGCAGACCTAACATTGAAACCTGCATGGAAGTAATTCTAGGTCGTGTCTTTATTTTAATTGAATTTTAGATTTTCCCATCGACTGATTGATTGGACCGAAGTACTCGGTCTCAGGTTGACATGTCTGTTGGCTTCTTGTGCAGATACTTCGACGATGTCTGGGCATTTAATTAGAAATTAACTGGTGGATAGTGGTGACTAGCAGTGGAATCCAGTCCAGGATAACACGCATTTCACCTATTTCCTATTCGGGACTCGTCCGCCAGTTAGTGGCTGTACCTGCGTTCTCCAGTCAGTCAGTCAGTGATGATGTTCCCCGCTCCGAGGCTCGAACCCAGTGGCCATAGTTTCAAACACCAGTAGCCAAAGCGTTATCTACTAGACCACTTGGGCCACGAGAGCCACCCCCTTGTTCCTGTAAATTTCAGATTTTCCCGTCGACTGGGTTCAAGCCTCGGTGCGGGGAACATCATCACTGATTCACCGAGAAATGCAGGTACATTCACAAGCTGGCGGACAAGTTCCAAATAGGTCGGTCGGTTGGTTTTCGACATAGAACTTTGCACATATGTGCGGCAGTTCAAGTCGCCACACTCCACTCCACTCCATGTAGCACACAAAGCAAGAGAAGAAAGTAGAAGAAATGCATAATACAGAGACAGTAAACAGAGGTGTGAGACAAAGGAATAGTAATAACGAAGAACAATGTAGTTTCATTGGAAATCATAAGTCACAAGGAGTGGATGCATCTGCGCCACTAAGAACGATTTTGAGCCATGTCACCAATTGTTTCCAGCCTTCATTGGTTTTTACCGTCCCAAGGACCCCAAGCAGGAAGCTAGTCGACACCTTCCTACGTGGCTGGCTTAAACTAACTGTTGTAGATTCAATTGACTGATGACATGTTTTGGTTTGACCGTCAATAGCTCTTTTTCAGCCTGATTCTATGCCAGCTAACATTGCCCGTCAGTGGAGGAATGCGATGACTTGGCATACGTAGCACATGTCCAAACCATCTCAGTCGATGTAATTTCACAGCCCGTTACCTAGCACTCGACCGAAGCCTAATCTCAATATTGCTTACCTCATTATATCTTTTCACACGGGAGATAGAACGCAGACACCTACGATCGAACACAGCTAATCTTTTCATGTCTTGTGCTCACAATGGCCAGGTCTCACAGCTAGCCATAAAGGAGGACGGAGCGGACTGCTGTGAGCAGTACACGCACCCTTTGGTCAATAGTCGGATATCACGTCTACTACGCCAGAGACGGCGTAAACTGGTGTGCGTATGCAAAACTAGCCCTTTGTATCCGTACTCAGCTGAGATTTCGTCAAAGATCAACCCGTTGGTACTGTTTGATGGTACTTACCAAACAAGAAAAGCGGTCCCAAACAGGACCGGTGAAATGCGCGTTATCCTAGACTGGATTCCATCACTGCTAGTCACCCCTATCCAACAATTATATAATAGTAACATGTTAATATTGACAAAACCTTTTTTTCTAAAAAAAAAAAACACTTACATAAGGACAACAGAAGCAAATTACAGACGGGCATCTCATTGGTCTTTGAAGATGCATAACAAGTTTCCCGTTCACATTGCGTACTTCCATATCGAAAGCTCTATGGGAACCACACCAGAAACGTTGTACAAAACTGGATTTCTCTACAAATCTCAAAAGTAATTCAGCAGTATCCAGTACAGCTTCATACATCACTGCATCATACTTTTTTGCATCTAAATAATAATAAAAAATAAATAAATAAAATAGAGAAATAAACGAAACTTTAAAAGGTAACAAAGGATTTTTTAATAAAAGTTAGTTTGTATAGGGATTTTTGATTTGTTTGATCACGGATTGATTTGAGTTAGAGAACCACTGAAAACGACATCTCTGTTTTGCCGCCAACCAGGACTCGAACTCCAAGTTGACACCGATCCTCCAACTAAAGCTCAAGTCTAGGGTGCAGTCAAGCTTCTGAAAGCTCGAAAAGCAACTGGACCAGATGGAATACCCCCTGAAGCACTGAAAGCGGACCCAGAGACGACAGCAGATATGCTGACTCCATTATTGCAAAAGGTCTGGAAGGAGGGAAAGGTGCCTACTGACTGGAGGAAAGGTTACCACCTTGTGAAACTACCAAAGAAGGGCGACTTAGGCCTCACTCTGCAAGAACTGGCGAGGAATCATGCTTCTGTCGACGCCAAGTAAAATCCTGAGTCGCATCATCCTGGAGAGAATAAAGGACGCACTGGATACAGAACTCCGCCAACCAGAACAAGCTGGGTTCAGGAAAGGCAAATCATGCTCTCACCAAATTGCAACTCTATGCATCATCATCACAGAACAAAGCATGGAATGGCAATCAAACCTCTACCTCAACTTCATAGACTTTGAGAAGGCCTTCGATAGCGCAGCGTTGACCGCGAAGTAATTTGTAAATTACTCGAGTACTACGGCGTACCCCAAATGTTCATCAACCTTATTCAACAGCTGTATGACTACAGCACATGTCAAGTGATCCACAATGGAAAACTCAGCGAGGCGTTTGGAGTAAACACAGGAGTCAGACAAGAGTGCTTATTATCATCAATGATATTCTTAATTGTGGTGGACTGGATTACGCGTCGTCAGACAGTGGGAAACGAGAAGACACGGATATCCTGGACCGATGTGAAGAACCTAGAAGACCTGGATTTCGCGCGTGGATTATTTATACTTGATGTCACACAAAACTGAAGACTTATTAGCGAAAACCGACAAACTGGTCGAAGGAGCAGCAAAGGCAGGACTCCAGGTGAACATAGACAAGACGGAGGTTATGAAAATAACCAACCAACCAACAACAACAACAACTGCAGCAACATCCAGGTCCAATCATCATCAACAGGAGGGATTTGAAAGAGGTTACTTCATTCACTTATCTAGGGAGCATTGTCTCAACTACAGGTGGAACGGATGAGGATGTCAAATCGAGAATCGGGAAGGTGAGAAACACATTCATCAACCTGAAACCAATCTGGAAATCTTCGTCACTCAGCAACACTCAACAACAAAATTCGGATTTTCAATACAAACGTCAAGTCAGTCAGTTCTTCTATACGGATCAGAAACTTGGCCTGTTGCAGACCTTTATCGACAGCTGTCTTCGTTCTATACTGAAGATCAGATGGCCGGAAAGAACAAGAACCAACAAGAAACTATAGGAACAAACAAAGAAACAAGAACCAATCGCTTGAGAAATATGCAGGAGAAAGTGGAGATGGATTGGACACTCGCTGAGGAGGCCGCCGCTGGGTGACATCGCGCGTCAGGCCATCGCTCGAGTGGAACCCGAAAGGGAAACGGCGAGTTGGTCGTCCAAGGGTGACTTGGAGGAGGTCATGTGAAGAGGATGAAAACGTGTGGGCAGACTTGGAGCCAGGTGAAGACTCTAGCAGAGAACCGAACGCAATGGAGACGCACGGCTGAAGCCCTATGTTCCACTAGGAACCCAAGTGAACAATAATAATAAAATAGGACTCCAACTCAGGAGACCTTCCGGCTATAAGGCGAGCTTGTAGACCAACAATCAACCACAAGGGTGGATGGGGCCCAATGCAATGGCCAATATATATTCCAATGGTTTAATACTTCTCTAAATGAGATGTCAGCCTGTGCTCAAACTTAATAACAATCAATTCTAATAAAAAATAAAATAGAAAAATTCAAGACGATACTGGGTCAGAGTGTTATATGAGTCACATTATAAATTTGGTCATGGGAAGCATCGTTTAACTACAGGCGGACGGAACTGATGAGGATATCAAAGCAAGGAACAGGAAGGTAAGACAAGCTTTCATTACTCTCATCAAGTCTGTGTGGAGGTCAACAATCAACACTAATCAGCATGAAAATGGAAATAAGATCCGGATTTTCAACTCCAATGTGAAGTCAGTCAGTGCTACTTGCTATACGGATAGATCAGAGACTTGGCCAGTTCGTCATTAAAAAGATCACCTCAAACAAACTACAGACCTTCATCAACAGCTAGATGTCTTCGCTCAGTACTCAAGACCAGATAGTCGGCCAGAAAACATCAGCAACAGGGAGGGATCTCTGGGAGCGAACCAACACAGCAGGAACCGATTGTTCAACAAATAAGCAGGAAGAAATGGAGGTGGATTGGATTGTGGCCATACTCTGAGAAAACAAACCATCAAGTGAGTGGCATCACTAGACAAGCCATTGCTCGAGTGGAATCCGAAAGGGAAGTGGCGAGTTGGTCGTCAGTGTGAGGATGGAGGTCATGTGAAGAGGAGATGAAAGCATGTGGGCAGACTTGGAGCCAGGTGAAAACTTTAGCAGAGAACCAAACGCAATCGAGACCTAAGCTGAAGAAGCCCTATGTTCCTCTAGGAATTAAAGGAAATAATAATAATAAGAAGAAAGAACAGTGCGTCATCCGTCACTAAATTCCTTAGTGACAGTGGAAATAACCTTTGTGTGTGGAATAAAACAGGGCAGAATTAATTTTTATGCCAACAACTGACCCTCACTACTGTGATTTCACATTTGAAATAGTAACACACAGTAAATAACTTGCTTGCCTTTACTCTTAACTACCTGAAAGAAAAAACTATCAGTTTGAACTGCTGAAATCAGCTTCCCACATACAAAAAATGCTCCACTGATAAAATATGAGAAAATAGGTCGAATTATCATTATCATTATCATCGAATTATCATGACACAAAATGTGACATTAATAAACATCATTATCTCTGACTTCTGGCTGGCTGGATTCAACATAGAACTTGGCACCGAAGTGCAGCAGTTCCAGTTGCCACGTTCCAAATAGCACACAAAGGTAGACAAGAAGATGGATGAGTGAAGAGAATCAATAGAATTTAGACAAGTATAAGAGTGAAACAGAATGAGTAATGGTAGAAAGGAATATGAAAGATTACACAAGAGACTGAATATATCTGCGTAAGCCATTGACAACGATTTTGAGCCATGTCACCTATTGTATGTCTCCAGCCATTGATTCTTAGAGTCCCGAGGGTGGGCCCCAACCCGGAGGTCTGCATCTCCCTCAATACCTGACTCAGTTTAACTGTCAAGCATTTCATGGATTGTTGACCTAGCCATCTTAATCTATGTAACTTTATAGTCTCGTCGATTGATTTTCCCTCTTTGCCCAACACTCTACGCCTAACTCAACGTCAACATTACTTACCTTATTATACCACCTAACGTGAGAAAGAGATCGTAGACATCTATGATCAAAAACAGTCAACCTTTTCATATCTTCAACTCGTATTGGCCATGTTTCAGAGCCATAGAGAAGGGTGGAGTGAACTGCTGAGCAGTACACACGTCCCTTGGTTGGTTGATAGCCGGATGTCACGCCTACGCGAGAGACGGTGTAAGTTAGCGAAATCAGCCCGAGCTTTTGGATCCGTGGTGAGATTTCGTCACCAATCAATCCGTTTGTGCTGATACAACTTCCCAAATAGGTGAAGTGGTCAACATGTTCTATCACTTCACTGCCTATCACTAAGCTAGGGGTAGACGTAGTCCAGTCCTGTAGCAGCATCTTACATTTAACAGGGGCGAATTGCATGCCAAACATACGAAGATTGCTGCAGCTCAAGGTTTTCAGAAGACTCTGCATTTCTGACTATAATGATCACTAGATAAACCAGACAAACAAAATAATCAAACTTCATAGAACTTCGCAGTAATAGTGATTAATGGTCATTTAAGATGGAGACGGCAGACTCTCGACGGTTGTATATATTGTCAAGGCTCAAAGAATAAAAATACATAAAGCTATCGAAAAGTTTCGACAACACTTTTCGGGAATAATTCTAATGAAATGGTTTCAAGAGAAACAATACAACGAATAAAAAACAAAAAATATTTATTAATCTCTTGAGCGAGTTTGAAGAGTAAAGCACCGAAATTTCGTACGCTTACTTGTTCGAAAACAAATGCTCTACCTACAGTCGTTTCATAAGAAATGTAGGAAGCGAAAACCAAACCACATAAGCATATGGTTTCTAGAGAGAATTACGCAGTATTAAAGCTACAAATAGCTCTACAAACTCCTTCTTTAGACACTTAAAATTTGTTCCTCATGTTTTTTTTGTTTTTTACAATAAAAAAACATCCCTTCCTTAATGCCATATGACTTCAAGAGGAATAATTATGTTCACTGGCGAAGTCTGACAAAGCTTTTAATGACAAAATTCAAGGCTTAGAGAGGATTTATTTCAGTATTGTTCTTTCCACATACATAAATATAAAGATAGTATCAATTACGACAGATAATATTAAACCTCAGTTATCATGTGTTTTGAGACAATCAGTCGCAACTCCATTGCAAAAATAAATGTTATATATGTCACTGAAATGACTAAAGTGTTTTGAACCAGCATCTCCAAGAGAAATGAAACTACTGAGAGTATGGTGAGAACATCAATCTGAGTAAAGCACTCGATAAGGTATCCCACTTAGGTCTTCTTAGTAAACTTAAACATTTTGGATTAGACCAACGCTTGTGTGAGTGGTTTAGTGACTACCTGATGGATAGGAGGCAGAAGGTAAGGGTTAATGGTGTACTGTCATGGTGGAAAGCAGTACTAAGTGGAGTACCTCAGGGAACTGTACTTGTCCCTCCGTTATTCCTATTATACGTAAATGAAGTGCCAAAATTCTTACCTCATCTTCCTTACTATTTGCGGACGATATTAAGATATGGAAAACAGTAAATAGTAGCGATGATTGGTTGGTACTATGAAACGATCTAGACAAATTATCCGAATGGGCTAACCTTTGGAGTCTGCAAATTAATTCCAAGAAAAGCGCGGTAATGCACCTAGGTCAGAAGTCTTACACGTCGTCGCACTCCATGGGGGATACAGAACTGCCAGATGTTAGGGAACAAAAGGACTTGGGAATTATTGTTAGCCATGACTTAAAAACAACGGCAAACTGTAATCGAACCGCAGCTAAGGCTGTTCGAATGCTACGGGCACTTCGAAGAGCTTTCAAACGATTAGACGAGGGTATGTTCCAAGTACTCTATGCAACATATGTCAGGCCTCATCTAGAGTACTGCATACAAGCGGCGAGTTCAAGCTTCAAAAAGGAGGCACATACCCTGGAAAGAGTACAGAGGGTAGGAACAAAATTAGTTAGTGGTATCTCACACCTTCCTTATGATATGAGGATGGAGCATTTAAATCTCTTTCCATTATCATATCGAAAGAGGAGAGTCGACTTAATTTTGGCTTACCGTGTATTCAAGGGTAATTTAGGGATTGACCTTTCAAACCTTTTCTCTCCCTCTAAGATACATTTACGGGGTCACCAGAAGAAGGTGCTCAAACCGAGGTGGAATAAAATACGTTTGGAGTTTAGATTCTCTCACAGAGTGGTCAACGACTGGAACTCCTTACCTGATTCAGTAGTAACAGCTCCATCGGTGAACGCTTTCAAAGAGAAACTGGATCTCTGCAGAGATATATATCGCGAGGATTAACATAGTCAACAAAAGCCTTATCAACTGAATCTGAATCTGAAGTAGTATTAGAGATAGCTAGGAATTGAAAACATTTATTTCCCGATACAAATTTAAAACAAGCAATAAATGTTGTTTAATAAAGCAGGATGATTAATTAATGGATTCATCAAATTTCGGTTGATAAAATTCAACTCGTGCTATCCAAGTCTCAATTTCACAATAGAACACGAGGAAAACGATACCATTAAACTCGTAGACGTTTTTCTAGTTAAAATGAATGATTCCACAAAAGAAATGAAACTACTGAGTATGGTGACAACATCGAGTCAAATACCGCCCAATGAATGAATCCGAACTACATGTAGTTCGTGTATACAGGTGGTTTTTTCAGCCACAGTGTTTATTGGCCATAAAGAACCAAAACAAATGTATGTGCACTAATCTTATGTCGAGAAATAGACTGCGGCATTGTATAAAGTCACAGAAAATAGATAAAAAAGCATGAAATAAAATTCCATAGTATTAATTAAGATTTTGACGATCAGCCAAACAGAGAAAAGTCTCCGTTGATCCCAGAAAATGCTCACTTTTGTTGTCAGTAAAGCATTCTGACATAATTCAAAACAATATTACCATATGAAGTAATCTACTCAGTTATTTACTCTATTATGTAATATAAAAAAATTAACTTACCTTGGGCCAGTTTTATCTGCTTCACAGTAACTCTGTCTACTTCCAAAAGTTTATGAAGTCCTTCGGGAGGTTCTACATATTCTAGAGAGCAGTCATTATTACAAAAAATTAAGTACCTGACAGAAACGGCTTCTGCATTTTAAAAGTGTGACTTCAGAGCTGAAGGTCACTGGTGTTGAATTTCGTATAGTAAAAACGGATGGCTACAAAATCACTGGAATCACTGCTGGTGGCAAGGAAGCATTTTGTGAGCCAATCGTTTGAAATTATAACTTCAGGATATATAGATACACACGTGGAAAAATAAAGCTACATACCAACGCAGTGTTTCGAATTCAATATTCAAGATCCAGTGGTAAGCGTCTGAACCCGTCTCTATTCCAATATCCAGTATCGTTTTTACGAGCTAGTATAAACCAATTTGGTTTCTTTGTGCTCGCCTCTTGATTGTGAGGTAGAGGTTCCTGATCTTGTTTACTGCTTATCCTGAGTGGCAAGCCCCAGCCCTTGTTCTCGCTCCCATTATATTTATTTTATGATTATTCAATCCATGAACTCTCAGGGGGACATAAGGCGTCAGCAGCACATCGCCACTGCACTCAGTTCTCTCCGATTTCCAATGGTTGGGCAACCGCCCACTTCACATGATGTCTCTCATGCTATCCTCTTGTCCACGCCAGACACCTTGCTTATTACCCGAGTTACACTAAGAAACCTGCTTGACATACAAGGTTACTTGAACGTGTGGTCAAGTATGTCCATCACATCTCCATTTACTTCTGCAAAGGCAGTAACCTACTGACTGATTTGCCTCTGGAGTCCCTTGTTACTTATCCATTCTGGTCGGCCATCTGATCTCCAGAATAATGCAAAAGCAGTCAGCTGTCGATGGAAGTCAAAAAACCTGGCGACTATAACTTTTGTGGGGAATCACTAGGAAGCACTGAATTCACATTATTGCAGAAATTTCAGATCTTGTTCCATGCCAGATTCAGACTAATGAATGCTTACATAACCTTCACAACTTGATTTTGGCTGAATTTTGCATTAATTTTGCCTGTAGTTCAGACGATGTTGCTGAGGTAAATGGAAGAGACGACTCATATCAGATTTTTCCCCCTGATGGTGATTGATGTTCTCTGTTGTTTGGGTCGAGTATGTTCTTTATATCTGTGTTGTTTATGTCTGCCCGGAGTGGTGGTCAGTTCAACATCCATTGAAGTGGTTCGCCCCGATGATCTCCGCTCCAATCTCTTCGGAGGTATGATTGGATTCCTCCAACATACATCACCGATATTAACCGCAATGACCCACTCCCGGACAGCGATCTGGTTATCTCAAACTGCGATCTAAGGCCCATATTGTCAATACTCTATTCTGCTTCAATTGGAAGCGGGTAGTAAAAACGTTTTCTCTTCGTCAGTAGTGTTTTCATTATCTTAACCAGTGTGGGGTAGATAATTTTCAGCCTCTTATATTTCCTCTTTGTCTCTACCTTGGATGTTTGTGGAGCCTTCTTCTCATTCCACTTTTGGCAAATTCTGGTGTTATTCGGCGGTGATGCTAACTCATACAGTGTCCCTCCTTCTATTTCTAAATGTTATACTTGAATCGCTGCTATTTTGAAAGCATTTCACTTGACCACCAATGTCCTGTGCCCTAGGCGGTGATGTTAAATTACATCTCCTGCCCTCTTTATCTTGGGTCCAGTATGCCGAGTCTCCAATCCCTCGGGATTTAAATGAGTTCTACCTTATTTTTAAGGTTTAAACCCTGTGAGACCTATATTGCCTCCTCAATTCTTATGCATTTCACCCCTCCGTCTTCACGCCTCTCCACACTTGGCAAGTTCTCTTTCCTTCAAGAAAACAGTCTTCTACGGGTGTGCCTGTTCATTAACCTACCACAACTTCGATGTCTGTATATCCCTGGCGAGTTTTTCGTCAGCACCTGCATTCGTCTACTTAAGTTCTCTTTCTTCGCTTTACCTTCACTATCTTCAAATATGTCGCGCTTTGTAATTGAAACTTTTTTCTTCTTGAGCTGTCATGATCCTGTGACAGGTGTGTTCCCACTGCGTTATAGCTTTGACATCCTGGCTAAACCATCCAATATCTAATTCCTTTTTACGAGCTAGTATAAGCCAATTTGATTTCTTTGTGCTGCTTTCTTGGTTGTGAGGTAAAGGTTGCTGGTCTTCGGTAAACCTCTGCGCAGTTCGTTCAGCCACTCGACTTTCGTAGCTCTGGTTGACTCCGAAATGAGTGCTGCTGGGATCAATTATATACTCTCTGCAGTATGAGGTGTGTTAAGACCGTGTTGCTGCTGCTAATGGAGTTCATCCTTACACCGCTTAATCATCCGGTGTCGTCGAAAAGAAAAGAGATAATAATAACACATAACTAGTGTGGGTTATGCAGACTAAAAGACAGGAAAAGAAATCAAGTAAAAGTAAAAACAGTAGGCCAATGAAATTTTAGTTCTGTATATATGTCAATTTATGTTTATATGAAAATATAAATTATTATGCATGTAAATAGTGTCAATAATGATAATAATAATGTAAGTGTAGCAGTTGGAGTAGTCAGGAGGGTAAGGCAAGAGATATTGTGAAGTAAAAGGTGAGTTTAGATGTCTACCCACTAATAGTATATGAGATTTTAAGGGTTTGGACGCAGTCCCTGTATCCAGCCTTCGTTTAAAGCTGTCCACGTACGTTGCCGTGGCTATGTCTGCCAGTAAAGAGTACCAGGGACGACAAACTCGCAGTGAAAAGGAACGGGAACCCACTCGAGTCTTTTATCCCTGGTGAGTTATCCCTTTGAGATTTCTACAAGGAAGCCCATGAGTAGTTAATGACAGAACAACTATGTTTGAATGACTATAAGTATATTATGGATTATAATTTAGACTTGAACCAATATATTGTCGGTGGCACAGTGGTTAGGACACTTGACGACCATGCACATGGTCCGGGGTTCGATCACCTGCCGACGCACACCCGATATCTATGGTCGGCCTGTAAATTTGGGCTACCGATATCCATGCTGCAAATTCCATACCTGTACTGGAAATACGGTGTGGCATCAAGCTGTAATAAAAATTAAAAAATTAAAAATAATAAAAATAATAAAGTTTCTTGAGGTTTTCTTCCATCTTTCCAATTTTTAATGTCATAAAACAGTGTTCAATTTCAAATTGCATTTGTCAAAAATGATCATGCCTGTACAAGCAGTATGTCAATCATGTAAATGCTAAATTTATGTGAAATATATATTATCTTAAGTCCCACCTAAGTTGATGGCAACTAAGTGTGAAGAAACTTAATTTTTAGCCGTTCATCGTATGGTTCGTTTCTGAGAACCATCACCCTTCGTCTTCGGACTCTTTCCGAAATGTTCGCACCTCTTCTAATCAGTGGGGGAGTTATGATATTGTGCACTTCAAGGTGTGGTCTGACTTATGTTTCGTACAACCTTAGAAAGAGCTCAGGAGTGAGTGCACCTAACTAACCATGTGTAAATTGGATGACCGCATATGTCCTCGCTACATTCCCCGCGTCCGTTAGAATTAAACCTAAGTCACGCTCCGACGCTGAACAATACAGGTTTCTGTTGCACTGGGTGTAGCTTGCATCCTGCAGCTTACAGGTGCGTAATCTTACTTCTTTGCACTTTTTCAGGTTGAAAGTCATTCCAATGGCCACCGCCCAATCTTCAAGAAGCTTTAGGTCTGTCTGCAGCCCATCTGAGCCTTCCGAAAGCTTTATTGCTCCTTAAATTTCTACGTCAGAGTACAGAAGAGTTCGGCGGCCTAGACAGGATGGTAAGTCATTGATAAAAATCAAAAATACCAGTGGCCCTGGGATAGAGCCCTGCGACACTCCTGGTGACGAGCTGTGCCAGGATGAGTGGAGTCAATTGACCTTGGTGCAGAATTTCATTTCAACTAGGCAGTCTTCCAGCCATGACAGAAGTGGCTCACCTATACCTGCCTGAATCATTTTGTGTAGGATGTCATGGTGAACTGTGTAAAATACTTTCTCAAATTATAGGAAGTCACATGCACTGGATTATTCATATCCCAGCATGATGTCTGATCGTCTCAAGCTTACAGTAGGTTTGCGACACAGGATCTGCCTTTCCTGAAGGCAAAATGTGCTTCATGGAGTCTATTGGTCCTATCTAGGTGCTCCTTGATGTGATCACCAATTATAATATCCAGTAATTTTGATAGCACTGGGAGTAGCTCTACTGGTCTATAAGTGGTGGCATTTTTCCTGTCTCCACTCTTGAAAATCGGAGGAAGAATGTCCCTTTTCCACTCTCTTGGCGGTTTCGCAGAATCCATCGAGCGTTGGAATAAACCACATTAGGGCCTACAGAGAGCTTGGATGCACTGTTTCATGATTGATGGCCTGATATGGTTACAACCTGGGGACTTTCAAAATGTGAATCTCTGTAGCCCCCCAATTCTACTGTTGGGCTCGTCCGGAGAGTAGCCACTAGGCTTTCTTTCAGTAAAATATTATTTCTGCCGTTCTGGTATACACCACATTGCTGAAAACATTATTCCCACCATTTCTGCCACATGTAACGCAACCTTCAGTTGCTACTCGCGTTTTAGACAAATTAATAATAATCATGATGTATTCTCATTTTTGTACATGAGGGACGCCAGTTGACAGGCATTATCAATATGACAATAATGTATACATGGAGTAAGCACGTCTACAATTTTTCACTGAAACAAGATATATATATACAAGGGAAGATAATGGAATGATGACAGGAAGCACACTTTGCATAAGTTGAAACAATCTATATGATGTAATCCTCGGCACCATTATTGTTTGAATTTGTCGAAAATGCGCGTAACAACTGGGTGTTGCGTTACATTTGGTCGATCTGGTGGGCTACTCACAAAAGTACAAAAATGGCTTGTAAAACGTTAGATAGTTTACCGTAAACGATGTTTTAGGCAATATTATCTGCGAGAGGCTCAAAAAATACTGGTGCACAGGGATTCTATCATGTAAATTAATTTATCCATGTAAAGTGTGCTTACTGACATTATTATATTGCCTTTCCTTGTATATACATATATATTCTGTGTAAGTGAAAAATTGTAAATATGCCTACTCCATGTATGTAATACTTATCATATTGATGATGCCTGTAAACTGGCGTCCCTCATGTAAACGAAGTGAGAATATGTTATTATTATTGCGGTTTATCTGTTTGGCAGGGGCTAAAATGAATGTTTCAGCCATCTCCAGACTAGTGAGGTATTGATCGTTAGGAGCTACTAAGGCGCATGCCCCCTGGTTGTTTGGTTTTCTCTCC